AATTCTTACTTTTCAATTTTCCTTACATATCTGGGGAAATGGATGGGTCTTGCAAGATGATCTCAAAGTCAGCAAATTGGTTATTTTATGCTAGGCCAAGAAAGTAAAGAAGTCAATTCGAAAGATGAGCACTCATGAAAATGTCCTGCCTGCAGCTGCCCCCCTTTTTAAATGAGGAGGGTTCCTTATCATGTGTCTGTACTGCTCACAACTGTGGTAAAACATTAGTAGGAGAGTGGCAGGTAGTTATTTAGGGTGCAATTTTGCAAAGCACTCACCGTTGGCCTAACATTTTTCCTAATGAAGTCAATGAGGGAATGTCTATACTTCCCAGAAGATCGATGCACTGGAGGTTGATCTTCTGGCATTCAATTTAGCACGTCTGGTATAGAATCTAAATCAAAATCTGAGGGTAGCTCCTGGCATCTGGCATTCTTCCTTTTGTGAGGAGTAAGGGAAGCGGATGGGAGTGTTTTCTCCCGTCAGCATCCCACAATGTGGAAGCCGCCAAGTCTCGGCTTAAGGTAAGCCGACTCCTGCGTTGCATTTTGCGTCACTGGCGTGGCATATTGCAAGCCAAACTTCCTGGTCTAGTGTAGACCAGGCCTAAGAGTTTTATTTGGCATCAGAGTTTGGCCAACACTGCACTTTGGAAAATCTCACTCTTTGGGTTCTCAGTGTCCAATTAACTCTCAATAAAAGCAATGACTGTGACAGACGCTAAGCAAAAGTCAATGAAGATTGAAAAAACTCATGCCCTTCCAACACGGGACTCTGAGTTTGCATGAGTTGGGCATTTTTATTAAAATATTTGTGTGAAAGTTCATATAGTAACACTTCAAAAACATTAAAAAGAGCTGATTAACCATGTTGCATAAATAGTAAAGGCATATGATACCATTCTGCAAAAGAGAGAAAATAAGGTGCCAACCATGCAGAGAGAGATATGTAAAGATTCTTACTGAGAGCTGCTGGGTGGTGATCCCTTTTGAAAATCTGGCACGAAGGACACAGTTCTGCTGATTGCTGAGTACCTTCGGTGTTAAGTTAGTGCTCCACAGAATCCGGTCCTAATGGTGTAAGATTTAGAAAGAACTACAGGCGGACCTATCCTGTCATTGGGAATTACTGTGTCTCTGAACACATTTTTCTTCTATCTATGTTTATTGACCACCCATTGAAGCAAGTTATCTCTCTATTATAGACCAAACTTTGGTTGTAGTCTGACTAAATTGGGGGAGTCCATGATGAGACTTTTCCTTCCCAACTGGAATATAATGTGATCAGGAATTGTCAGAACTCATACCATGGCCAGGCCTGTTTGTTATGGACATTGGACAGCTCAATGTGACAATGCAAACACATTTTCTCTCTTTCATTTTTCAGGGTATGTCTGTAATACAGAGTTTTTTTCGGAAAAATGACTGTTTTCCGAAAATACTTCACTTATGTCCACACTGCAATCGCATTCTTTTGAAAGAAAATTGAAAGAAAAGAGGGGATTTTCCAGCATTGGTAATCCTCTTTGTATGAGGAAGAAGCCTTTTTCCAAAAGAAAAAGGAGTATGTCAAGGGAGAGGGAGGAGGAGGGAAGATTCTGTTCTCTACTGGCAGAAGATCTTAGTGGCATAAATTAAAGCTGTCCCCTTCAGCTTTATCTTGCACTGAGGCTGTGGATATCTGATAATTGAGGAGCTACCATTAGTTCCTTGTCAATCTCTCTTTTTCACTGTGCCTGAGGTCTGCTTGGCTACAGATAAAAATCAACCCTACTGAGTACTTGGAAGAGAACAAATGCGGGGAGTGGGGCATCAGACCACATGAAAATTAAGCAATCTCACCTGACCTCTCAGGAATGTCAGAAATGCACCTTGCAAGTTCAATCCAAATACATGCAAATGTCACAAGGAAAACTTGTGAGCTAATGGCTGTGTATAATAACGGGTGGTTATGCAAGAGCCTAGGGAAACGTAGGAGGTAAACACATTCTGTCACAAATGCCTTTCCCTCAGAGAGGTGAGAGAACAATTCACTGAGTCTCCTGTAAACACTTAAGAACATTATGTACAGGTGTTTGTGTATGACTTGCATTAGTTTGGAAGGCAAAAAAACAACTTTTAACCACGGAAGCTTGATTGTGTGCCAGCCTCATAAAAGCTGTATGCTTTTTTCCCACTGTGCAGGTATCTGAACCAGACTGCACTGGAGGAGACACCAATAACAGTGAACACATTCAACAGAGAGAAATTAGCCATCCTAAAACAAGCTCTAACTGCTTTTGGATTCAATAACCTGGTAAGTCATGCAAGCCAATGAGGTCCATGTCTTTTACCTAGTAATAAGCTGGTCATAAAAAACTCATATTGACAGGTACCCCTCCACACACACACTCCTGCAGAAAATTATAAGCTTGGCCCTTTTTTGTGCCAGTGAAACAAAGTGCTAGTTCACTCCAAGGAATTGACTGTAATCACTTTTAATTAGATACAGCACCAACAATGTAAACCTTTTTTATTCTGAAAGATTCACAAAACAGCTGAAAGTTATAATCTGGTGAAGAATTAAATTACATAATGTCTAACAAGAAACAATCAAATCCCATATGACAAAAACTTTATAAAACCCTTTGGGGATCTTTCCCTTCCTGATTATATCCCTGTCCCTTTTCATTTTGTGAAGCATACATTCCAAATGCTGTCTGATTGCTAGCATCTGAAAAAGGCATATACATAATTAGACACACAACATTATGGTCAATTGACCTGAAAGATTTGACTTCAACTAGCGAAAACAAGGAGCAACTAGTCCTAGAATCCAGAAGGGAAGAAGCAATTCTTGGTTTAGTCCTAAGTTAAGCAAAGGATATTGTCCAAAGAATATAGTTGAACTGATCAGTAATAGCAACCCTAATATAATTGAATTTAAACATTCTTTTTGGGGAGGAAATGATAAAAAAAAAACAACCTCAACACAGTAGCATTTAACTTTACAAGAGGTAACTACTTAAAATGACAAAGTGGGTTAAACAGAAATCAAAAGGTACTATCACAAGGATGTGATGCCTGCTAATTACATAGGAACTATTTAAAAATTATTTAAAAACAACATAATACAGATTCTCACTAAAAGTATACCCCACTTTGGCTTCATGCAGAACAGAAGAGCCAAAAAAACCCATACTGTAAAAATTGGAGGTCAAATCCTGCTGAGGAAAATAGAAAGGAGCATACATTCTGAATGTCAGGTGTAAAGATATTAGGCAGTCCAACAAAGAATTTGAAGAACATCTAGCTGAGGACAAAAACTAGGAGCACTTTAAAGCAAGAAATTTGCCAAAAAATGTGTGTGATCAGTGGATGACTGAGCTCTAAAGTAGCACTCCAAGGAACAAGACGGTTGAAGAGAATTAGAATGAATTCTTTGCCTCAGCTTTCTCTGCTCCTGAGCCATTCTTCTTAGGTGACAAATGTGAGGATCTGTCTCAGGGTGAGGTGTCAATAAAGGAGGTTTAGGAACAAATGTATAACTTAAAGAATAATAAGTCACCAGGATAAGATGGCATTCACCCAAGAGTTCTAAAGCAATTCAAATGGCAGAACTACTGTCTGTGGTTTGTAACATTTCACTTAAATCAGTCTGTGTACCAGATGGCTAACGGGCAGCTAATGTAATCCCTATTGTTTTAAAGGAAATCCCGACAATTATGAGCTGGTAAACCAGTCAGTTTGACTAAAACTGTAGTAAAGAAGAGGCCTGTCAGACACATAGGTGAATCATATATTGGGGAAGAGTCAACATGGCTTTTGTAAAGGGAAATCATCTCTCACCAATCTATCAATTTTTTTAGGGTGTTGGCAAAGCTATGGGCAAGTGTGCAACATTAGCTATATTGTTTTGGGGAATTCACAAAGCTTTTGATAAGATTCATCACCAGTGACTTTTGAGCATAGTAAGCAGTCATGGGATAAGAGGGAAGGTCCTCTCATGGATCAGTAACTGGTTAAGAGATACAGAAGAGTAGCCATGTTAGTCTGTTGTTTTAAAAACAACTACTAGTCCTGTGGCACTTTGGAGTTTTATTATAATTTATTATATCATGAGATTTCCACGTTATCATGAGCTCATGATATAGTATACTTGTTAGTCGCTAACCCCTTGTGTACAGTAGGGGATAAGTTCAAATTAAAATACACAACTTCAGCTATGTTAATTGTGTATCTTAAGCTGAAGTATCCTACCTTGAATTTTGGCTCCATCCATACTGAAGGAAGTCAAAGGGAGCACACTCTCCCTTTGTCTTCTCTCATTCCTTGTAGAAGCAGGACTATCGGCATTGACGGGAGCACCCTCTCAGTCTGTATCTGTAGTGTAGACATGGCCTATGGTGCCACAGGACTGTTCATGGTAACAAAAACAGAAAACCAAAGGTAGGACAAATTTTTCAGTTTTCAGAGCAAAGAGAGATAAATAGCAGACAAGGCAGGGAGTTGGAATTGCCACCCCCTTTCAGAGCATCGCAGACACTGAACCAGTTCAGCTCTGGGAACACTCAATTCTAAGGGCTCAGCACCCAAGAAATCAACCCCAAGTGGGACCCAAATCCCAGATAAATCCATCTCATCCCGGGTAAAAGTTTTACATAGAGAAAGCTAATAAGGTTCACTCCCTTTATCAATTAAAGAAAGAGCTGCACAGTGATTGCTTCTCCACTCCCCACCCCCATTCCCCTGGGCAAGTAACAGTTATTTACTCTGGGCCTGATAATAAACAAAAGTGTTTTTATTAAGTATGGAAAGGAGGATTTAAGTGCTTGCAAGTAAAAACAGATCGAAGTAAGTTACTCAATTAAAATGACTAAAAAATTCTTGGTTAGTTCTAATTCACAAAAAAACTTGTTACATGCAAATTCTTACCCTAAACAGCTGTTCTTATTTCAGATAAAAACTTCAAATCAGAGCTGATTTTTTACTCTGACTTGGGTCTACAGCTTCTTCAAAGTTCTTCATTTCTAGGGCTGTCAAGCAATTAAAGAAATTAATCGCAATTAATTGTGTGATTAATCGCGTGTGCTGCTTCTTTGAAATGCTGTGGCAACATTTTAAAGGGGCAGCACCGCAGGAACCCGTGATCAGCTGGATTCCCCCAGCTGACGTCGGGCTCCCTGAAGCACTGCCCCTTTGAGGCGCCGGGGCGGCACTTCAAAGGGACAGCAGAACATGGAGCTGGGTATCAGCTGGAGTGCCCAGCTGATCCCCAGCTCCACATTGCTGCCCCTTTGAAGTTCTGCTCCAGTGTCTCAAACGGGCAGCACAATGTGGAGCTGGGGATCAGCTGGAGTGCCCAGCGGATCCCTGACTCCGTGTTCCGTTGCCACTTTGAAGTGCTGCTCAGGTGCTTCTTATTCCGAACTACCGTTATTCCTCGTGGAACTAGGAAGCCTAGTCCGAACTACCTAGTCCGTGCCGCGTAAAGCCGCGCGGCACGGAGTCCGCACTATCGGACATTTAAAAATGGCGGCGCCCAGCAATATGCAAATGAAGCCCGGGAAATTCAAATCCCGGGCTTCATTTGCAACTCCGGTTGCCTACATTACCACCCTAGTTCGAACTAGGGTGGTAGTGTAGACATACCCATAGTGTGTTATCTTTTTGAAGAATTATATGAATATTTCTAATTAATCCTCACAATCATTCTGGGAGGCAGGGTAATATTTATTAATATCCTCATTTTAAAGATGGGGAATGTTTATTAAGTGTCTTGGGACACTGAAAATAACTATCTGACCCATCCTCTTGATTTCTAGGGCCACCCAAAATCTTCTGGAGTTGAAGTGTCTCCCAGTGTCGTGTTTGTCAACCTTTCTGAGTCTTAGTTTTCTATAATTTTCCCATCTACACTGATATTGTGGTTTTTCCATTTGTAGATTTCAAATTGTCTAAGAAAGCATTAATACAACTTTTTTATAGTAGCATAACACCTGAGAAGTTTTAACAATTTGTCTGATAAGCATGTATGAATGGTTTAGGTTGCGTGGATCCGGTATATACGAGATCTGTGTCTATCCTGGATCATCTGCAAACTTTTTTGTATCTCATATCAAGTTATGTAGATTTACTGTGCCTTATTTACCCAATCTGAAGAATGGCAGTAATGATATTGGCCAACTTTTACTAGATTATGTGTTGCCTCAGTATGGTTCACTAAATATAAATAAATTATTCATATTGTTCATGGACAAGATAAGAGTACAACTTACAGCTTTGTCATTTTCCGGGGATATTTTGGTAGAAAAAGCAGCAAAGGGAAGAATCACTTTTTACCAGATCTGTTGTTTCTCCAAATGTCTGGGAAGTACTCTGGGGTGAAATTCAAAAAATTATAGAGTTCTGGATAGTTGTTTACAAAGCTCATTCAGCTGCAGACGATGCACAAGCTAAATGTTTACATATTGTGCATATTTTGGCCCTAAGTCTCAAAGAGTAGTTAATATATACGAAGAAAGCATGTGCATATCTTGTCAGGTTGGGGCTCTAAGAATTAATTTAAGAATTATTTCAGGTAAAACTTATCAAATAACTGTATGATTTTTTAACATTTCTAAGTAATGCAATGTAGCTCTCTCAAGTAAATAAGGGTTCTTAGTCACACAATTTAAATCCAATGTGTTCAATAGTTCTGTAGACCTGAAGGAGGA